AATCTATTAGGTATGTCTCTTGTCATCGTCTGGAATATACATGACCACAACTGTTGTGAAGTCAACAGATATGGGCTGAAAGGCAAAAGAAATGCTTCAAAGATACTCCAAAACATATCCTGGGAGAACCAGGTATAAGCCCAGTCTCCCGGGAAATGACAACCTTAGCCCAATGAAACATAGCCATCATTAAAAGGCTGGGTGTGATCAAAGGTGTCATTCGGCAGGGGGACCCTTTGAATACCATCTGTCCACTATACAGGGGAAACACCACCTTGTTACTCAGTATTGTACTCAGTATGGAAAGGAGGGCACACCTATAATACGTGGATAACTATAGTCTCAGTGTCTTATGAGTACAAAGAACAAGACAATGGCTTATTTTTATCTGAGCAGCTGTAGTAGTGGATACCCAGCTGCACAGCTCCCTGTGCCAAGGGGAAATGGAAAATACTGTAATAGCTTCTCTTTTCTCCATTCCCTTTTCCTAGACAATTTTTCCCCCACTGGTGTACTAGAGCAGGGCTTTCTTCCACCTTCTGGTACTCTGCCTGCTAGGGCCATGGGCCAGCCTTACACAGACCTGATTGGAGGGGGGGCTAGCTAGGCCCTTACCCAAGAAATTCCCTTTATAGGATCTTTCCTGAGGCCAGAAAGGCCAACACAACATATTCATTACTTTGGCTTAATACTTCACATATTAATAAAATCAAAATGCCCTCCCTGCAACTTGTTCCACCTTCCCAAACATATATACACGTCATAGATATACATATTGTGAATGAGTTCATGTTCTCCAGAGAACACAGTAAGTGTAAAGAGTTTGCTGAGAGTAGTAGCTGGGAGGAGACAGATAGACTTGATCAATTCCCCCTTGTCAGTCAGGCAATAATAATAATGATAGCAAAAGGGTTTTATTTATTGACTCATCGTATCCTCCCAACAACACTATCTATTAACTCTGTCTTACAAGATAAGGAAACTGAGCTACAGAGAATAATGCAACTTGCCCAAGATCACACAGCTAGTAGGTGGATAACCAAAGTTTGTCCACTTATTCTCTATGCTACACGCTTCTTTGGAGAGAGGAGTGACTATGGTGCTTCTCTTTCATACATGTCTTTGAAACCAGATTGCTTACAGTAGACTCGGCTGGATTATTATGACTGAAATCTCTTCAGTCTTTTGTTTCCAACACAAAAATGATGGCAGACAAAGGTACAGTAGCGCCAGCAAAATTGCCTTCTGCAGTTTTGTGTCTGCAACCTGGTCTGTCTTTATGTCATGAGAACGTCATTCTCCAGTCTATCTGCAAATGAGCAAAAATGTTGAAATTCTTCATAGTTTTCAGAGTAGAACCTGAAACAGCACTTTAGAAATCAGCAACACGTAACATCCCAGTACTCTAATTCATTGATGTTAAGAGTACTATCTGAAGCCAAATAGACCTTCCACATTCACATTCCAGAAATGCTCCTGTCCCCTAGCCCCATGATTTGCCTGGAAAAATCCTTCTTATCCTTCAAGACCCAGCTAAAATGTCACCTCCTTTATGAAGTCATTCCCAGCCCCACAGGCAGAATTAATTGATCATTCTCTATGCCTCCACAGCACTTTTTATTAGCATTGCTAGTATAGATCTTACCACATTGTTTTAGTTACCTACGTGAGGTCCTTGAGGTCACAGACCTGTCCTATTCATAAATCCTTTTATCCCCATATCTCCAGCCTAACACACACCGTATTTCATCAAATCTAAAACTCCATCGCTTTCAGGCATGTATGGGTTAATTAAAAAAGAAAAAATAAAAAAAATAAAAAAATAAATAAAACTCCATCGATTGTAAGATACACCATTATTTCATTAACTACTAAGAAAAAAAAACACTGACAATTTTACTATGGCATACCACCAATTTGAGGATGTGCCCCAAATTCAGGAAAGTCAAAATGTTTTTTAGGCCAAGAGCGGTGGCTCATGCCTGTAATACTAGCACCCTGGGAGACTGAGGCAGGAGGATCACTTGACCTCAGAGTTCAAGATCAGCCTGACCAAGAGTGAGACTCCATCTCTACTAAGAATAGAAAAATTAGCCGGGCATGGTGGCGCATGCCTGTAGTCCCAGCTATTCGGGAGGCTGAGTTGGGAGGATCACTTGAGCCCAGGAGTTTGAGGTTGCTGTGAGCTATGATCACACCACTGCTCTCCACTCTACCCTGGGCGACAGAGGGAGACTCTGTCTCAAAAACAAAACAAACAAAACATTTTTTTAAAAATGTCTTTTGGAAGTAATGAATTATGATAGTAAGTGTTCAGCAAGTGTTTATAGAACTGGATTGTAAACCCAGGTGGAGCAGATACTCCTAGAGCACTGTGACAGCCCTTGCTTTTAATAAGTAAGGAATTGGAAGTTGGTGGTGAATGGTGCGTGGCTGCATTGCTGATTTCAAATATTTTACCCAACAGCTTCAAGGGATGAGTGGCTTGATATGCCATCCATGTTAAAAAAACAAAAACAGAAACAAGAACCTTTATATCTCCCACTCAGTACACTAAAAGGTACAGTGACAATATATTCTGATCAAAATTGAGGAGCACCTAATGCAACAAATAAGAGTGATTACAGAGGCAATGGGGCAGAATCCTGTGTCTGTCTTGATTCTGGTTCTTTAAGCCAGTTCAACCCACTGTTAGTCCCATCTGTCCATGGAAAAGAATGGTAACTGCCCAGCTTTCTCCCAGCTTACTCCAGCCCTGCTTTTATTTTGATGTGATCCCTTCTCAGCTCCAAACTGTTGTCTCTGTGACCTTTGGTTTCCCTTTCTCCTTGGGCCTCAGAAGTTGGTGTTTATATATTTTCTCCCTGGTTAGTGTCTGGACCTAGGCTTTCAGTAGGGCCTTTCCATAAGGTGGGTTTTGCTGGGTCTTAGAATCCCATGCTGCCTCACCAAGAACCTGTATTCCAGTTACACCCTAGAAATACAAACCCATCCCCAACCCTAGAGCTGGGCTTAATAATGCACTTATCTTCGATGGATCTTCCACCACACTCCTTCCCCACCGCCAAGTACACATACACACTCATGCAAGATAAACCAAATTGTCACTGAAAACCTTAAATGTATGGTTGGTTGACAGAAATTCTCCTGGAATAAAAGATCCTCTTGAAAAACACAATTATCCTGAGAGGATTGAGTCTAGTGGCTTAATTAACACGATCTGAAATATTTTAAACATTTAAGCAGCTCTGCACACTAGCATTCAGGGAATGAGTGTCTTTATGGGGCAAGGACAAAGGGGTAACTTTTAAGGGGGTGATGAGGCAGGGAATAAAATAGGGCAAAGGGGGCCGGGCGCTGTGGCTCACGCCTGTAATCCTAGCTCTTGGGAGGCCGAGGCGGGCAGATTGCTCAAGGTCAGGAGTTCGAAACCAGCCTGAGCAAGAGCGAGACCCCGTCTCTACTATAAATAGAAAGAAATTAATTGGCCAACTGATATATATAAAGAATTAGCCGGGCATGGTGGCACATGCCTGTAGTCCCAGCTACCCGGGAGGCTGAGGCAGAAGGATCACTCGAGCCCAGGAGTTTGAGGTTGCTGTGAGCTAGGCTGACGCCACGGCACTCACTCTAGCCTGGGCAACAAAGCGAGACTCTGTCTCAAAAAAAAAAAAAAAAAAAATAGGGCAAAGGGTTCCTAGTTTGGTTTTGTGCCTAGACCCTTAGTGGGAAGCCAAAAACCTGAAAGTCATCTCCCTCTTTGAGGCAGGCTGCCAGGGCCCAGGTTAAGTTTATCAGGACTAAGACAGAAAGCTCCAAAGATTATCATCTTCCAATTTAGTCCCATCTTCCCAGGCCAGACAAGTTTTGTTCAGCCTCCAGGTCAGCTTAGTTTGTCTCCATTCAGTGCCACCCCCAACCTTAATGAGTAAAGAGGAGACAAGAGAAAGGAAAAGAAATAACTTCACTTACTCCCTCTACTGATTTATTATTGATAATATTTGGAGATGTTCAAACTATAAAAAGGAGGCTGCTTATATTTCCTTTGAAAGGAGAGTCTGCAAAATAGGTTTCCCAAAGTATTAGAACTGAATGCATCCAAATGCCATAGGAATTTTACTTCCTCACAGGCATAGTTAACACTTGCAAATAAAATCATTGAAGTGAAATCACAGAACATTAGACCTGAACAGAATCTTGGTGATAGATCTGCTGACCTGAAGGCCTAGTAGATTAACCAACTAGTTAATGGCAGAGCAGGTACTAGAACCCAAGTGTCCTGACTCCCAGTGTGGAGATTTTCCCATCAGGGAAGATACCCAAACTTTTACAATTGCATCCCACCCTCATAGTCTGCAATTACATTTGGTTCATTAGGCTTAAAAACACCATGCAAACAAGAACTCTTGATGACTGATATAAACAAATGCAAAGAATCAACAGGCCCATCATTTAAACCACAAGGATTGAGGCAGTACATTTTTACTCTTTGTAAGTATAAAACAAACTGTCATTGCCTGGGCCCCTTTCAGGGGTGGATTACCGTATAAATCAATCCAGCTCACTAAAAGCTTACCTAGATGACATTCAATACATTTAATTACGGTCCCCACCAGCTTGTGATGTCAGGCAGACAGAAGCTCAGAAATTTTCTCCTGGTTGAATTTTGGAAGAACTGTGTAAACAACGCCCCTTGCTGGCCAACACAAGAAAACACAAAAGCCACTGCTGACAAAAGCATGGCTCTAACAAAGGTCACAGCAATGACTCTAAGTAGTCTTCTAGTCTATGGGAACCATGGCCAGGTCAAAGGAGAAAGCATGGGGAAAACAGCAGGGGGAAGAACAAAAATCTGTATTTTTCCTGAGATGTTTATATGTGCCTAACTAAAGTTAGACCCCAAAGAAAGCACATATATTTTTGGTATCCCATTGAGTTTGAACAGGCAGTTATAAGATCCACAGACGTATGTTACGCTTATACACATAAACAAGATTTTTATTGTTAACATCAATGAACAGAGAGGAAAGAATATTCATGTGCCAAGGAAATATTACTCACAGGATCACAAAATGGCTGTTGATTTGTATTCATAAATGATTTGGTGAACCACTGTGTTTTTGAGTGAAATATATATATATGTGTATATATAAATATAAATATATATATATAAAAGAGATTTCCAAAGCTTCATTTCCATTTGGACTCCTGCAATAACTTCATTAAAAAGAGAAAGCAGAAGGCTTGAGGTTAAATCTATATATTTTATGGATATTCTGATTCACCAAGAAAGAAAATTATATCCTATTACATTCATTTTAAGTGGCGCACAAAAAAAGTACAATCAGCACTGATTTGGCTCAATAACTTGCCTGAGGAAAGGTTTTTTTGTTTTTTATTTTTTTGAGTTTTAAAAAAAATCACCAGCAAAGCCGTCAAGGGTACTTGAAGATGTTACCGCTGAAGTAAAGTGTTTTCTAAGCAATTCCAGGGCTCTGTTATTTTTTGCTTGCAGGGTCTTTTCAGCTCTCAGTTCATTCTTGATGGCATCGAGCTCTCTGCGGATCTTTTCCATTTCAAATTCATAATACAATTTCATTTCTTCTTTTAGAAGTGTATTTCCAACCTCAGTTTGATGCTTTAACTTCCTAACAGCTTCTTTCAAATCTCTGTTTTCTAGATTCAACTTGTGGATGACTTCTTTGGCTTGCTGGAGCTCTTCACTTAAGTTTTTTACATTTGTTGCTTTCTTAGATAGGTCATTTCTTAAAGCTTGAAGTTTCCAGTCATTCTTAGAAGTATCTATCCCTGGTTCTTGAACATTTAGGTTTTTTGTGGATACTTCTTTTTTGGAGTTCAAAAGTTCTTTTTCAGCATTTTCAAAATCCTCTTCTATTTTTCTGCACTTCATATTAAGTTCTTCCAGTTCTTCATTCAAAAGATTCAGGCGAAGTTTTGGAGACATTCCTTCGGTAAATTTCTTCCTCTTGTCTTGTCGTGGTAGTAACTTCTTTGTACTCTGGGTAGAGTAATCTTCTGTGCTGCTAAAGCTTTCTTCTGTTGCAACACCCACATTAGATGATTCACAAGAGGCAGAATTTGTGTCTGTTTCATTCTTTGAAATGTTTATCTTTCTCTCTCTTAAATTTGGTCCTTGTTCTTTTTCATTTAGTTGGGAAGTATATTGTTTCCTCTTAAATTTATTTTCTTCTTGAAACTTTCTACTGGACAAATTATAAATTCCTTCTATTCTCTTGGTCTTATTGACAGTTGTTTGTTCAGAAGATTCAGGCTGAGAAGCCAATTCTAGAACATCCTGTGCACTAAAAAAGGGAGTAAACATATTCTCCTTCCAGTGTTTTCTTCTAGCAGCCATTTCTTCAGGCACTTCTTCCAATACCTGAAAAACAAAATTTAAAATCAAGGCACGTCCTTTACACTGGCAGCTAGTGTAGCTGGCTCATCGGTGAAGGAATCTGAACATTTGAGGGCTGGCTCCCTCTCTAACTCACTGGGTGACCTGGGCCTCAGTTTCCTCATTTACAAATTGAAAGGGCTAAACTAGCTAAGTTCTATGGATGCTTCTAGCTTTAAAAGTCTTTGATCCTATGAAATTTTACCAGTAAATTAACACATTTAGCTATTTATTGTAATAAAGTTATTCTATGAGAAAGCAACTGTACACATGAAAATAGATAAAATAATAAAAATGATTTGAAATTAATAGGTTAATATTGGTAATACCTGTGCTTTCAATGTGTCTGTTTTTTTTTTTTCTAGTTCTTCTGGATTGGACTATTGTTTATTCATTCTTTAAAGTGACTAAAACATCAGGGCTTAATGAAATGTGAGCTGCTTTTGGTAAAGTATACCATGCAGACTTCCTTATGAGTAACTCTGCCAAATGCCCTTCTGTCTTGACCTATAAATTCCTGCTATTCCAGTCTTGGGCTTTGCTTTTAGGCAAGATTGCCAAGTGTACAGAATTCTATCCATTTTGACAGCAATTTCATGATGAGAACCTAATGTCAATAATTGAAAATATTAATACCACCAAATGTGTTTTTCTCAAGACATTGACTCTGGGTATAGTTTTTAGGTGAAAACTGAGCATACTAAATCACAACTGACTTCCCAAATTTATAAAAATTAGATGATGATTATTTTGTTTCAAAAAGAATCTTATTCAAATGGAATCCTTTCCTAAAGTACTGAAATATTTGATTAGTAACTACTTCTGAGGAAAGGGAGAAAGAACTCAAACAACTTTTGAAGGCATACTGGCATCTGAAGCCCATGAAGTTACCCCTAAATGGTGAAGAGGAGAGGGTCACTTTATTCATTTAATACACCAATTTATTATAATATATTTATAGCATCACCACTGTGAAAAATCAAAGTATGCCTGCATCTATTTTAACTATGCACACAAATGTAATTTTTTCCTGGTAATGAAAAATGGCAAATGTTGTGTTTATTTCTTAATTAATATTTGATTTATTTGTAGCAATTTTGGAAAATACAAAGAAGCTCCCCCAAACAAAAGGAATGTCCTTCATTATCCCATGGTCCAGAGATAACTACTTTTTTGTGTACTATCTCTCCAGTCTTTTCTTTTTAGTAACAGTAATTTATTTTAAATTACAGATTTTCCTTGCTACAGGCTACCAAGGAATAAACTTGATACCTACAGGTACTGAACATGCCTCTCTCTCTCCTCGACAAAAGAGGGAAGGAACTTCATATCCCTAAGGGTACATCCCAACTAGCAACTACTTGGTTTTGAGGAAAAGTGAAGGTACAAATACTCTTAAAATGAACTCTTGGAGATGAGGGTTCAGTGAAAGTGTTAAAATGATTGGTTCAAAAGCCATAAGCTGAGCTTTATGGAAGTTTAATCAGACCATACTGATAAACTCAGACTTGAAATTCATGGTATGTATTTGCCATTGGAGCGTCATCTCCTTTCTCTTGAAATAGTTCTTTCTCACTTTTATTATTTTACTAGTCACAATTTAGAAGCATCTATGATCTATTCTTAAAGGGGAACATTATCATGATCCTGATTTCCCTCCTCTCTAGAAATATGAATGCAAATGAGTAGGCTTTATGACAGCAATCATAAAGGAAAGGAAGAGAGACAGTAGAAAAGAGGGTGATGCTAACGGCCAGTCACACTTTTTTTAGCAGTCAAATTTTACTGGGCAATTCTGTAAAAGATAAAAATCAGGTAGCAATGGCAGAGAGATTACTATTCCTCCTACCTAATTCTGGAGGAAGGGCATTGGTGGGATTGATCAGGAAGTAGTTAAGCACAGGGGCAAGTAATGTGAGGCCACATTTATACCTGAAGATAGCAATAATGACACATGTGATATAGAGGTTTGGGTATATATAAAGGTTAAAATACAAAATTCATTTTGTTAATAATTTTGCCCCTTGAAAAAGTGACTTCTATGACCAACTCTCTCATAAATCTTTGGCAAAACATACACACACACACACACACACACACACACACACACACACAGTGCATGCACACATATATTTTTAAATTTTCACTACATTTCTTCTCTGAGCTTCTATATAATTTCCTGGGTGTTTGAAAGGAAATGCCTTTCAATGAACCCTATACAGCCAATGTTCTTCCTAGAACTGGGAAGAGTCACTTATTTTATAACTGAGGCCCAGAGATGTTAAGTGATTTGACCAACGCTGCACAGCCTGTAGTGGTAAAACTGAGGACCCTGTCTCCCAGGTCAGTGCTTGTTCTAAAATTCCCCTTTATTCATCTGCTAGGTTTCATTCCACAAATTGAAAGAAAACAATCCACTATTTTCAGAGTTTAGGTATCTTTTAAAGGGCCACAAAAGGAGAGAGGAAAGATGAAGGGGGGAGGGGAAGGAGAATTGCATGTCATATATCAAAGAACAGAGAGAGAAAGGTTTGAAAAGCCTTTTGGAATTTCCCTCCCATGGCTTACACAGGACAGGGTCAAGGGGTCTTCTGAGCTGCTCCTTTTTTTCCCTCTCTTTCATTGGCAAGATATCCTTTAAGGGCTTGTTCCCAAATCTAGTCACAGAGTGTGGCAAAGCCGAGACTGGGGGTAAAAGCTGCCAGTCTCGTTTTCTCTTCGCAAATTGCACTGCTTGTTTTTTTATGCAGACCAAGTATGGCATCAGTGTTCTCTGGCAAGAACAAAGAATATGCTTTGAAAAAAATGACACTCCTCTACCCTGGCCTGGTGGCCATTTTGTTCTCAATAAATTTGACTAGATAATTTGTTGCGGCATAAGGCAAACCAAACCAGAAGCCATTACTGAAAGTGTAAGCATACCTTTTTAGCGGGTCAGTTGTGAACATTTATTATCATAAGTGCCTACGCAACACCACACTGGATACTGAAGGTCTGAAGGGTAGGGGAAGGAGACCCAAGAGGAATGAAAGCTACAAATTAGTCAGAATACAGAAAGGAAAACAATATAAAGTCGTATGACAAAAATAACATCAGTGGTCTAAGTCTAAGACAGCAATCCCCCAGAAGTCCCTGGCATGGGTGTCTATAATATGACTACATCTATTCATTTGTGTCTGGCATGAATTAATAATGGACTTCTAATGGTTCTAGTTAGTGTCTCCCAGAAAACATCACCATTCATCCTTTTTTTCTGGTAGAAGCAAAGTAATAGGACATTTTTGTGGAGTAAGAGATCTCTTGTCTCATGGAAGTGGTTTATGTTCACCTAAAGAATTTGGGAACCACTCATGAAATAAATTGAAAATGAATTTGTAATGTAATATGATAAACACAATATAAATTTTGAGAAGTAAGCAAAGAGTAATGATCATTGATTATAAATGTTTAAGTACACTGTTCCATAAAAATTTTAGGTGAATGCATATCTAGCTTTAAATAGCTCCAGAAAATAATACACTGCTGTTTATTGTGAAAGGAGAAATCCACAACACCATCCAGTTTTATTTTTAAGGTGGGGCCCTGGAAGGAATACTCATATTAAGGTGGTTGTAAAATTTAATTATTTATTTTCTGAAATATTCATATTTTAAGTCACATGCTTTGGGGAAATTTGATGACATAAATCAAAGATTTTTTTTGTTGCTTTATCCCATTTACATTAGAATTTGATTTCAAATTTTCAGGACCATCTCTTTGCATAAATCTAGATCTGCCTGCAAAATGTGATTATTCTTCCAGGCAAGAGTAGTCAGGGACTGGAAAACAGTTCTGGAAGAACGCCAGAGGCTTTTTTCCACTTCACAAGAGTCTTTCCTCTCAAACTTTGTAAACCGGGAATGATGGTTGGAAAAGGTCACCTCCAACCGTGTTGACCAACCTTCTGTCACTACCCTTAGCCTCTCAGCAACTCTGAACTAGGGGCATGGCTTTTAGTCACTGCCCAGGGGCAGTAAGGTGAAGACAAAGAGACCCTCTTAGTACAAGGCACTTTCTCCCTTCATTCTTGAATGGTTTCAGATCTCCGGACCCTCAGAAAAACTGTTCAGCCAAAATAGGAAAAAAGTCTGTTACAAAGGAAGTTACTAGCTTTGCTTCTTGGCTGAATTGTCTAATTTGTTCTCACTTCAAAGGAGTGGTCCTCAACATTTTTTTTTCCTGCTTCCACTACTTTCAGGTACAAAACACTGCCATCATTACCCTCTTTGCAAAAGAGAAAATTATGACTTGCCCCTCTAGGGGATCTTCCCCATTCTCCACCCTCTTTGACTGACCATTAAATACAAAAATGAGGACCCAAATGAACTGTCTGAAGTTAAGGTGGATCAATATGTTTTATTCTGCAAAATTGTGGGGAAGAAAGAAAGGGAAATCCTTGAGAAAGGAATTGAGTATGGACTATGGTGGGAAAAAAAGATGGAAGGAGTCAGATATCTTGGCTCCACACTTTAGAACTGTGTGAAGATTTACCTGCTGGGAGCCTTGGATTCATGTGTAAAATAGAAACAATGTATCTATTTCACAGGTGCTTAACAGAAATGAATGATGGACAAAATGGAAGCAGTTGTTAAAATGTACCGTAAACCATGGGTTTTGTTCATTTTTAGGTTTTCCTTACCCTCCCTTTGATCATAAACCAGCCAGCTAAACAACATAAGCCTTCTCCAAAGATATGTGTTTCAAAGTGGCTAGCCAAAGTCATCTGGCCCCAGAAAATGTTAGTTAAAAAAAAAAAAAAAAAGCAGGTCTATTAAAGTAAGCAGATGGGAACCTAAACATCCGATCTTAGAATAATTTAATCTTCATCACCAGGGAAGAATTGGCCCTAACTCCTGTAACTTAGTTGTTGATGTCCCCAAATTTCTGAAGCTAAATTGAGTCTATCTAAGCACAAAAGTGGTAGTCTTTTCTAGAGCCTAATATATTTGCATTTTTATCACCAATTGCTTTACCAAGAATTTTCCAAATGCCTCACTGTTTTTCAGAGCCACCAATAACTTCTTTGAAATACAGGAGTATTAGCTGGATGATTAGCAAGGATGACTTTGCACTCTTGAGTTTTCTCTGTGCTTCTACAGCATTTCATACAGATCTTGGTTACACCAATATTCTTTAATGGCCTGGCATTTTATTCGTTTTTGTATCCCTGTCACCTGAAACACGGTAAACCTCAATAAATATTTGTTGAATGAATGATCCTTAATATTCTTCTTAAAAATTCTATAAGGCTTTGACCCTAATTGAAGCTTTAAAGAAATACTTAATTGCTCCTCTGGCTTATAAAGTTTTTTGGGTGACATTTTAGGGAAAGGACTTTTTTTTTTCCCTTGAAGCTTATTTGGTTTAGCTGAAATCTTCAGGACACTTTTCTTTTGTATTTCTATGAGGCCTCCTTCAAAGAGTACTGATGATGCAGATTGGTGATCTAGTTAAAAGGTTGAGGATTTATGTTGGGTGAGACTCTGTGCTTCTAAACACCCATAACAAGATGTCAGCCAACACAATTGTACTTACACTTCCCAAGGTCCAGGGTCTTCTAGTGGATGTTGTTGCTTTCTTCCTCCGGTTTGAACTGGAAAAAAAAAAATACACTTCTCTCAGCGTAACTAGGAAATATAGTTAACCAGAATGCCCAGATTCATGTTTATATTTCAGATGTAGATTAAAATTAAAAATGATAGAATGTCATTTGACTTATCTGAAATGTGATGCCAGACAGAGATAATTTCTCTTTTTCAGTTGTCAACCCATTTTGCCAACTATTATGTCACTAAGTCTTCCTTCCCCAAGAAATACAAATATCAAATGGGACAAGAATCACGGTGACATTTTATTCAGCGCAGTATATCTTCATCTTTAGCACCTATTGAACAACGAGCCACCACTGATGGAGGGGACAGCAGTATGCTTAGAGGCAATGGCAGTATTAAAGAGCATGCCAAGAACTACATTAGCAAAGGGCTGGAGCCTAGGCCTTGCCTCCCTCCCTCCCTCAGAGTGCAGTTAGTTTGAAGAAACATTAAACGGGGAAGTCATCCCGATTTTTGCCTTAATTTGTCAGGGTCCTGACATATGCGCCAAGTGTCCACTTCACGGGACAAATTGTCTTCTCTATTGTTCAGCAACTATTGAGGGGAAAGCAAAGTACCATTGAAAACCGGGCCCTGTGAACGGTTATGACCCCCCAATTCTTTGTTATTAGTGTGAAACTATTCCTTCTAGAAGAAAAGATAGGGGGAGTCACCTTAATTCCAAAGGCTGAGACTTTATTAGTATGAGAGTCACATTCTTGCTATAAAGCTGTATCTTTTTATGCATAGTTTGGGGGTTTTCTGTAAATGGTTAACTGAAACTCCTGCCATTGCCGATTCCAGTGGTGAGAAGGTGGCTCCAGTCCCGGGGCTGCTCCGACCCCTATTGCAGGTGACACTTTCTACCTCCCCAGTCCCAACCCTGTGGCTAGCGGGCGGTGGGAGAGGCCTGAGCCCACACCTCCTTCCACACCCTCACTTCCACGCCCTGTTCCCTTCCTTCCCAAACGCTGGCCAGCTCCAGCCTGGGCTCTAAAGAGAGAAAAAAAACTGCAGTGGGGGTTGAGGTGGGGACGCGGGCACCTGAACCCTCCTGGCTCCTCGTCCCTCGACCCCCGTGCTGGGGAAGAAGAAGGGCGAGCCGAGGGGAGCCCGGGTTTTCCCTTCCACAGACATACCTGGAAGCGTGGGTGCGGTCTGAAGAGTCCTGTCCCCTCTTTTCCGAAGCCGGCCACCACTGGCGGGAAGCAGCCCCTTGTTCTGCGCTGGACACCGCGACCCGGCCGGCGGCCCAGGCTGAGCCTCTGCAGTGCAGCGCCAGCGCGGGCCGCGCTGTTGCCTAGCAACGGGCGGGTCCGATTTAAAGGGACCGGGACATTGGGGAGGCGCACCGCGGGCCGGGTGCTGCCCGACCTGCAGTTAAAGCCTGGCCAGAGGAGTGAACATGCCCGGTGGGGCAGGTACCAAGGCAGCTTCTGCCGGGTGAGGACTGAACTTTGATCTTTTTCTTTTGCTCAAAATTCCTTCCTAAGGAGGCCAGATGAGTCACACTCACAAATGGTAAAATTCCCACTAAACAGGTTTTATTAACCAAATGAAGTGTGGTTTACTTCCCAACCTGATTCAGGTATAGCATTAACATCACCTAAAAGACAGAAAGCCCCTGTCTTAACTCAGGCATCCTAGCAGATGCCTATCTTAACTTAAAACACTGTGAACCTCCCAGAGTGCTCACATCTGTATCTTAAATTAAGCATTTCCTTTCTGGTCCTTTAGATAAAGCCTAACTCTCTCTCAGCCAATTGTCAGCCAAAGAATCTTTAATCCCCCCCCCCCCATAACCTGTAAGACCCTCTTCAAGATGCCCCACCTTTTTGGGCCAAACCAATGTATGCCTCTCATGTATTGATTTATGACTTTACCTGTAACCCCTGTCTCTCTAAATTTACAAAACCAAACTGTAACCCAGCCACCGTGAGTCCGCTTGCTTAAGGTTTCTTGGGAGTGGCTCTGGGCCATGGTCCTCAAGTTTGGCTCAGAATAAACTACTTTCAAATATTTCAGACTTTGATTTTTCGTCCACACGGGCAAGAAATAGGAGCACACCGGAGGAGAGCTGAGTCAGTGTGGGAAGGGGCGAGAGAGTACAGCCCCACCCACAGAGAGGTTATTACGGAGGGTCTGGGTGACTCACAAAGCCACTTGGACAGTGTGATTTTAGGGTGACAGAGAGGGAGAGTAGCATACGACTAATCCCTAGGCCTGCTGTTAGTAACATGACATTGTGGAGGGTTTGCTCTGGAAGGTCGCCAGTTTGGTTCAGGTTTCCTAGCAATGTGGGAGTTGCACCCCAATTCTCCTCCCCATGCATATACCCTTGCAGATCAGCACAATGATCTGACCTCTGGCCAAGAGAATTTCTGCCTCTGATCAAGGGTCTACGGACCTTAGGAAGAGAGAGCATTGTGCCTTACCCGTGCCCTTATGGGAGATTGGGCTTGTAGCTCAGCTAACGCATAGTTTCCTTATTTGCCACTCTTTGAATTTAAAACCCATGGGGGGCAGGGGACAACTCTTTCAACACTGCTCTCAATGTAAAACTGTTCCCTTTTATAGGTCCCCAACGTACTCTATTCATGCTTCAAAGGTTGCTCACAACTTCCAGTATCTGTTTGGGTGACAAGCTCATGTTTTTCATTATGTTATAGATTTCAGCCATGGTATTTTATTGAATAAATAAATGATGTTGTCACATTTTGATTAGCCTGGTTGCCCAATACTAATACTTCCATCTCTACATGGACCTGGCCAAGGTTGAGGGACCTGAAAAGTGGGCCTGGGGTGTCTGAAATAGTAGTAAGAGTAATTCTTAGGAAAGCTAGTATTTTCTGGGAAGCATGAGGGTGAAAGGAAACACTGGCTCTGGGATCTCAAGTGAAAGGAGATGTATGCACATTTTTAAAGTGACAGTCTAATTTATCTATTCATAGATCTAGCAAGGGAGTGACTTAAGAACAATACTGGGATACATTTCAAAGCTTCAAAAGTTCTTGGGAACCGGATCTAACAGGTGTCTGGGAGCTGGCAAGGTTTCATTCAGGTGCCCTGAGGCTTAGTTCTCAGTCCTTTTTTTCCTCCTCAGAGAACCAAAGTCAACAAGGGTTGAAGGTAGGAAGGGGCCTAATGTCAATGTGTGTTTTATTATGGACTCTGTCAGAATTAGTTTGTGGGATTGTGACAAAACTTCTTTCCTTGATATTGAGTCTCCAAATTGCCTTGCATGCAATCATTTGTTTTAATTATTTTAAAAGGATCCCATTTATTTTTGCCTGAGGTAAGATCCCTTATTAATGTAGTAAAAGAATCTTCTGAATCGGTGTGTGCCTCAGTTTCCTCATTTGTAAAATGGGAATAATAATTGTACCTAACTCATGAGAGTGTTGTCAAGATTGAGTGAGTTAATATTTTTAAAACTCTAAGTGCTTGACACAAAGTAAATCCTGTAAAAATGTTTGCTACTCTTATTATCTTGCCTTATACATGCATTACCCCCATAAAATATAAATATTAATACATATATATATATACACACTGATGGTGATAATTCAGGGTATGCTCTGGAAAATAGAGTCAGAACTTTCAAGACCCAGAATTCCAAACCTTTATTTCAAGTAGAGTTTCAGACTCCCACTAAGCAACTCCACTCCATTCCCATATTCCTGAAAAAAGGCATAAAGGAGTCCATTCGTTTTGCTGGAATTCTCTTTTTATTTTTATTTTTTTATTTTTTTTATTTATTTATTTTTTTTGAGACAGAGTCTCGCTTTGTTGCCCAGGCTAGAGTGAGTGCCGTGGCGTCAGCCTAGCTCACAGCAACCTCAAACTCCTGGGCTCAAGCAATCCTTCTGCCTCAGCCTCCCAAGTAGCTGGGACTACAGGCATGTGCCACCATGCCCGGCTAATTTTTTTCTATATATATTAGTTGGCCAATTAATTTTATTTCTATTTATAGTAGAGACGGGGTCTCGCTCTTGCTCAGGGTGGTTTCGAACTCCTGACCTCAAGCAATGCGCCCGCCTCGGCCTCCCAGAGTGCTAGGATTACAGGCGTGAGCCACTGCACCCAGCCTGGAATTCTCTTTTTAAATATGGCAGGTCACTCCATCTTGTACTAGAGGTATCAAATGGTAGAGAATCAACAACAGTGAGGACTCAGAGTTTGGTTATTCAAAGCTACTGCAGACTTGGAGATAGGTTTTCAAATATGTAAATCATACTATCCTCTGGAAACTTTACCAATACTAAGGCAACAAAGCACTTGACAATAATAGAATCACATGGTCATAGAATAGAGCCTACCATGTAGCAGATTGAGACTCAGAAAAGTAATGTGATTTGCTCTATGATCCCACAGCAAAATAAGCTTCTTTTGATTGCCCTGGCAAGTGATCCTTGTTTGAGTAGCCTCAAACCTGGGATATTTGGGACAATGAAGAAATATACATTTATAAGCATATATTAAATGTGGGTATATATTTAAACTATTCATGCAGATAATAATAATAGCTAACTTTTGTCACACTTCACATCTTATACATTAGCAAATTCTGTTGGCTGTACCTTTGTAATGTATCCAGAATCTGACCACTTCTCTGCATTTCCACCATCACCACCCTGACCCTGACGCTCTTCATCTCTTGACTAATGCAATAGCCTCCTAACTGCTTCTACATTTGCCCACTGTGTTAGTTTCCAAGGGCTGCCATAACAAAGTATCACAAACTGGGTGGCTTAAAGCAAAGGACACTTATTTGTTCACAGGTCTGGCGGCTTAGAAGCCCAAAACCAAGGTTGTTTGGGATTGGTTCCTTCTAAAGGCTCTGGAGGAGAACTTCTCTCCTAGTCTCTGATGGTTGCCAGCAAATGGCCTTCCATGGCTTGCAGACGCATCCCTCCAATCTCTGCCTCTGTCGTCACATGCTGTTCTCGGTATTTATCTGTGTGTCTTCACACGGCCACCTTACCTCTGTGTGACCAAATTTCCTTCCTCTTACAAGGACACCAGTTGTTAAATTGGGCCCCACCCTAATCCCATATGACTTTATCTTAATTATGTCTATAAAGACACTATTTCTAAATAAGGTCACATCCATAAATACTGGGGGTTAGGACTTAAACATATCATTTGGGGGGACCCAATTCAACACAGAACACCCACCCATCATCTGTTCTCAACACAGCATGCACAGAGATCATTACAAAATATTAAGCCAAATCATGTTACCACTCTGCTCAAAAGCCTGCAAAGGCTCTCAATTTGATTGACAGTAAAAGCCAAAGTCCTTATTATAGTCTACAAGGCCCTACAGGATTTGTACTAAGAACCCCATAACTCCCCACCCATACCCACACCTCTTCTCTGACCTCCTTTCCTACGGGTTTGGCCCCTGCTGGGTCCACTCCAACAGTACTGGTTGCCTTGCTGTTCTGAGAATACCCAGGCACCCTCCCACCATTCGGAGCTTTGCTCAACCTGTTTCACATATCTTACTTCTTTACCGCCCCCCTCAGTCTTTATTAAAATCTTAGCTTCTCGATGAGGCCTAACCTGACTGCCAACTTTCAACCTCTCCAGCACTACCACTACTTCTTATCCTGTTCTAAATTTTTATAACACTATTTATTTTTAAAATTTTTTTAGCTTTAGAGATGAGGTCTCTATCTGTTGCCCAGGATAGATAGAGTACAGTGGTGTGACCATAGTTCACTGCAACCTCCAACTCCTGGGCTCAAGCAATCCTCCCACCTAATCCTCCTGAGTAGCTGGGACTACAGGTGCATGCCACCACTCATTTTTTTTCCATTTTTTTAAGGGCACAGTCTAGCTATGTTGTCCAGGCTATTTCCTAACATCATCTATTATGTTGCCTTCTGTTTCCCCTGCATTCCTTGCCCCCAGGCTGCACTACACCATAAGCTCCAAGAGGGCAGGGATCTTTGATTTGATTACTGATGTACCCTAAGCACCAAGCACAGTGCTTGGCACATAGTAAGCACCAAACAGTTATTTATTGAATGGGTGAATGAATGGATTGAGCTCATACCATGTGCCAGGAGTGTTTCATTTAATGTTCGTTAACAATCTTATGATGTAGGTACTATTGTTACCTATATTTTATTTTATTTTTTTTTTATTTTTTTTTATTTTATTTTTTTTTATTTTTTGGTTTTTGAGACAGAGTCTCGCTTGTTGCCCAGGCTAGAGTGAGTGCCGTGGCGTCAGCCTCGCTCACAGCAACCTCAAACTCCTGGGCTCAAGCGATCCTAC